GTCCATTCATGTCTCTGAGCAGAGCCCACAGAATGGCATCCACCAGCTCCATGGATACCTTCTGGGAGCAGAAGGCTTAGGTGAGGTAGTCCGCTCAGTATCTCCTACTGGTACCCTCTCAAAACAACATGTTTGAGCCCGTGATTCTCATACCCCTTCCCTTTTGTGTTACTTATCCCCTATCATCAATTGTCTGTTGTCCTTGTGTTTCTTCTTTGCTTAGCTCTTTCCCATCTCAAGAGGGTCTGATGATTTGGTTGGTGTTGGGTTACTGGCTGGCTCTAAAAGCAGAATGATGGCTCTTTTAATGCTCATCCTACACAAGACAGCAGCTAAGAAATCAAGCTCTCACTTGGGCACAGTCACTATCTCCATTTGCTATCTACAGTAGCAGCACCCAGAGCAGCTGGAGGGGTGCTTCTGGCTCTAGCATCTCTGCTCTAGAGGTGGAGCTCAGAGCTGAACAGCCATGCAGCATTGTGCCCGACTAGTTTTAGGAGATCTGAATAACCTAGTTTCCCTAGCAACAGTGGTCTTTTTAATCACAACTACAAATCTATTCTCTTATCACTGTTAAGACTTGTGTAGTGTGTCTGGCTACAGTAGTATTTTGCTTCTGTTGGAATAAATGGTGGCATAAAAGCCAGCAGGTCCTTCTGCCTTGGAGATGATAGAAATCTCAACAGGTAGATTCCAGTGCTGTTTCCAGCAAGAATAGAAAGAAGAGGAATTATAACTCCTCCTAAGCCCTTTAATATGTAAAGGATCCCTGGAGGATACAGAAATAAAGTTTTAATTTCTGTGCGGAGCTTTCTATGTGCAGATCTCATGGCAGTCTGTGACACTGATAGTTTGACAGCCTTCCTTCCTTGTTGAGATGCTTTTATCTTTGTTTTTATGGATGGGGAGGCGGGGTGAAGGATTCAGCGGCAGGCTGGATCTTGTTGCAAAGCTAGGAATAAACCTCCTCTTCTAAACCCAAGTTCTGCACCTTCCCTCTCCTTCAGTTTAAGGTCTCTCTGTTTACTGGGAGACAGTATATGTTATGGAAGTTAGAAGTATGAAGCCTGCTTCTTAGCAGAAGAAAGTGAGAAAAGGAAAAATACTGTGATTCACTAAAAGTCTTTCTGCTAGTATAACTTAGACTGACTTCAGTCCTCCGTTTGCAGAAATGAAGCAAACTGTAAAATTAGCAAGGGGTGAACATTAGAAGTGAAAGATATATTCCTGCCTTCGTTTCTGCACAGCAATAGGATCTTGTTTCCTCACATGTGCTGGGAAAAACTGGTTTGAATAGAAGTAGTTTAAAGAAACTGGTCAAGAGAAAGGAACTCTTCCTGCTCAAAGGCATGAAGCTGACCTAAGAAGCTGGTACTGATATTCCTCCCTGGATAACAGAGGTAACTTCTAGGGTTAGGAACCCGCACAAGGGGTAGTTCCATGGAAAAACGAATATCCACGTTCCTCCAATGAGGCTGTTAGAGTGGTGTGGTTTATTTTGTTTGTTTGTTTGTTTTAAATATGGCATCAATAGTGCAGAAATGGAAGGAGACACCCTTCCTTCTTCCTATTTCAATTCTGGTTTCTGGAATCAAAATGCTTCCTAAAAGTTCCCTCGACCAAATGGAAGATCAGCCATCTTCTGTGTGGCTGAAGATTTTTCTTTTTCTTTTCACAGTTTTCTTGCCTGTTTGGATAGTGGGAGGTTGGGGTTATGCTGTCTTCCCTGTAGCATTCTTTTAGCCCCAAAGCCCTTAAATTCCAGTGTGAGAGTTGGTTGGCTTGCAGGTATACTTCAGGGTATCTAAAAATCTGTTTGTGACTGAGCATCTTTATTTCAGCAACTCAGTTTCAAGCCTCCATTAACCAAATCAGCTTAATGGGGTATATTTCGAACAGTTGGGGAGCTCTGGGGAGCCTCTAGCATCTAGACAGAAGGTCTCTTCCGAAGAACACGTGCCAACTTTTATTTTCCATTCCTGGCGTCTTGCATGATCTAATAAATAAGTCTTTTGAGGAACTCTGAGAGCTTGAGCACAAGGTAATACCATGAGGGGGTGGGTGGCATAAAACTGGTTGAGCTTGTTAAAATAATATTGCCACGGGCCTTCAGCAGCCTAAAGGCCTCATATACAGCTGTTATTTAGCTGGGTGGTATTTGGTACAAATCAGGACAGAGGCTCAGCTCCACAGTGACTTTATTGTTGGGTTTTCAAGTATATTGTTTGCATAAATTCCCTAGACCAACTCTCCCTCCTGAATAAGTCACATGGATCAAGTTTTATTCTGTTTCACGCAAAGTTCACATCCTTTGCTGGAATGAGTCATGCTTTAACGGAGTTTACTGTGAGGGAGGAAAGTGGGCTTTAAAATGTTCCTCCTCCACCCTGCCTTAGGGATGTGTAACAGGACTGTTAGTATGCTTGGCAGCTGCTACCTATTACTTTCACAGAACCTGGATATTTGTGAAAACAAGTACAATTTGGTTCTATTTGTGTTCCAGTGTGAATTTAATGCAAAAACTTATACTTTTAAGAAGAAAATCGATTCCTTTTTATGACTTTGTTTTCCATAATGCTCCCTTGCTACTGTAAAAGCTGATCTAGCTGATCTCCCCGTGGTTATTTTTCAGTTTTGGATAGTCTTCTGAAGTATCTTTGTTGAAGGGAGAGCGGTGGCATTTTGTGGCTTGTAACTGAAAGAGGAGGAAAAACTTTCCCATTTTGTGTTCAGCAGACCATGCATGGATATTACTGTATGCACAGGACCGCTTCTGGACACTGACAGATAGGTGATAGTGCTTCACATGCAAAGGATCAGCAGCAGGCCCGTGTAACCCATGCGTAAGGTTGCCTGTAGCTTCCCACAGGCAAGATGAACATGTTGCAGTGCCACTGTGCAGAAGGCAAAGTTTGGTCCTATGTGTTATGGTTGTATGTGCAGAGAGGTCTATCTGTGGTGGAGGGAGCTGTTCCGTGTGTCCTTAACACAGTTTTTGCAGGAACAGCTTCTGTATCCAGCTAGCAAAGATGCCAGTTTTATTACTTATCTTTTCTGCAGAAGTTCTTTGACATCTAATGAAATAATGGTTAATTTGACTTTTCACACCACCATCCCTTTTTTGTTTGTTTGAGGGAAGGCGTTTGTTTAAGGACAGCCAATGTAGGGCCTGTTAGGATTTTATTTTTTGGCAGCAGGCCTCTTCACTTGACATGTAAGACCTTTCTTTCCTAGTCCTCTTGTTCCTGAGAGATCTGAAAGGATTTGTATTTTTCTTCTGAGCTATGTATTATCCAAGATTGCTAGACTGGCAGAGGTGTCATCTGTGTTGGTTGCACACAAAAAACAGGGTCTATTACCCTGAACTGCAGCATTCCTAAACCCAGACTGCAGAACCTCTGTGGAGCCTGCAGAAGGATTTATTCTGATGCTAATGCTTTTGAGGCACAATCTAGAAGAAAGAGCTTTGATTAAATGAACACTGATATTAAATATTGGAAAGGACTTTATTTTTTAGAACTTGCAATGAGTGAAGTGAGTATGCTAAGGGACAACATGAGTTTAATTAAATTTCGCCTTCACTTGAATTATATTGAACTATCACTGACTCTGGATTTACTGATAAGTAAGCCTAATAGCTGGGAGGCAAGTAGTAGTCTTGGTGGACCAGCCTGTGTCCTGTCCAGCTTGACTCTAACCGGATAGACTTTTCTCCTGTGTTCTACAGATGCTTCGTTCAGTGGCACACCACCTAGCTATGCGTATGATGCAGACCGAGCTGAAGAACAGAGGCGACATCATGACATGATGCCCTATATTGATGACTCACCATCATCCTCACCCCATCTCAGTTCCAAGAGCCGGGGCAGCCGGGACACCCTATCTTCAGGGTCTCTGGAATCTACAAAATCAGTGAGTCCTTTCCCTGCCTGTTTCGGAGTTGGAAAAGCCTTGGAGGGTTATAAGGGCTGTTGTAGCAAGGAGCAAAGAGTGGGACTACTAGCATGGTGGGATAGACTAACTGGTGTAATATGGTGGTGCCTGATAGATTAGGCATGTTTACAGTTAGGTTGAGGCTTCTCTCTGATGTTAAGCCTAAACTTCAGGGGTGAGTGTTGTGTATATGTTTTCAAGACTCAGTTTTTCACCCCCTTTGATGTGAATTTAATTGAAGAGATTTGGTGAATAGTTGCTGCTGAGAGGGTCTGTAAATACCACATATTTTGAAAAAGAGACTATGGGGCAGAACTTCCTACATTATAAAGGTATTTGGGGGTGTGTTCAGTGTGTGCATCTGTACATGTGTTTTGTCATTGGCTTTCACAAGGAGAATGAGTTGTTTTCAGGTAAGTTAGAAACTTTGATAAAGCATATAGAATATAAGATCTGTTTTCTGCTCTCTGAAAAGGGAATAAGAGGAGTTAAAACTGCCAGCTCTGAAATATGGTGACTGTTGGAAATGGCTACTTCTCATAAGGAATTTTACTGTTCACTAACTATCTATCTATATAATCCACTGTGGCCCATGAAAAGCTCAGCAGAGACCACCTAGCCTGACCTGTGGATTGATGTGGATTTTCAGCTAGCCAGCATTATCAGGTTCAGTAGTTTTGCTATAGCATGAAACTTAAGGAAAACTTCTATTTTTGATTTTACAGTATTGGTAGAGAGTCTATCACTTCCCTTAGTAAATAATTCTGTTGAATCTACTGTCTTCACAGTCAAGAATGTCTTGTTTCTAGCTTGAATTCATCCGTTTGTCTTTCAACCTTTGTTCTACTTTTTTAGCCTTTTGCTTCCTAGCTTGTAGAGCTCTTCAATTCCAAACTGCTGTTCCTCTGCATATCTTTGTCATTTGCAAACTTCTCTTATTTCGAAGTCATTCATAGAAATGCTTAATAGCACAAAGACAACTGTTACTTCCTTCATATTGTGTTTCTAAGAAAGTATAGATACCCAACCTTGATTTGCCACATTATAAATAACAATTGGAAATCCATCATATAAGTGATTTAACCTGTACGTTGACTTTATATTGTTCGATCTTGTTAATCAAAGTGTCACGAGAGAAGAAGATGGATATTTTACAGATAGCAGACTACATATAAATCAACACCATCACCTTTATCAACCAGTTTTGTTCATCTTGCATCAAAATGATTTCAAGAGTTTGACGAGCTCCACAAACCACTGCTATTTAGCATTCATTATATACATCCTCTTATCGCTCTTTACTGGTTCAGTGCCACATCATATGTCTCCTTACCTTTTTCAAGACGAATGCTGGATGAAGAGGCCTACTTGAGAGAGTGTTCTTGGTCTTCCTTTCTCATCTACCAAAATGCATTGTTAAGACCTCTTAAAGCATTATCAAGTACATGGATTGTTGATGTTTACTTATTTTAATTGACTATAATATATAAGATCTAGTCAGTGTGCTTCAACCTTTTAATTCTGTGATGCTTTTTTATCTCTCAAGATGAGAATGTTTCTAATACGCAAGAGGTTTTTGAATGAAGAGGTGGTCATATAATTTTTAAAGACTCGAGCGTTTTAATATTGGCTTGAGATTTCTAGGATATCTTTTTCAGCATGAGGGAAAAACGTTGCATCATCTTCAAAGAAGTAGTTGTTGTAGTGTCTGTGACTGGTGGCCTAACGTCCCATCTTGTTCATGATTTGTTTGAATATTGCTTCATAAGGTTTTTACATAAATGGCTGCTACCTTCTCTCTGGCTAGCCAGTCCTTCCAGGAGAGCATTAATTTGAAATAATCTTATCATGTGCATCTTCCACAAGAATGCAGTAGTATCAGAGAGACAATTAAAACAAACAATTCCCATATGTGTTATTTATTACCCAAACTTTTGGTATTGGCAATTACTGGAATTTTTTTTTTCTCTCTCTATTCCCCCCCTCCTCCCCCCTCCAGGTTTATGGTGTTCCTGGCAGAGTTTAGCCAATCCATCCCCCAGAAATTCAGATCCCAGTCATAGATCACCTTCATCTCCATGGCAGGGGGAACCCATCTGCACTTTCCCAGTAGGTGATGAACTAGCATTCCATAAACCCAGATCCTCAGCCATGCACTGTATCATGCAATTGATCCAGCATCTCTTTCTTTTCTTTGCTTATGAGACAGCAAGTTTGCCAGAGGGCAGCTCCCCACTCTGACGGGACCTCACTGGGCATCCTATTTGCATGGCATGCTGCAGGCGTGCTTTGCCCATGCTACAGGCCCGTAAGTAACATAGCCTGTATTAGAGCAGCACTGTAGCTGAATTAATACGTCCTGCAGAAAGTAGAGGAATGGTGATCTATGCTCAGCATTGCGAGACTATGATTTCTGGTCAGCTTGGAGTGCAGGGAGAGCCTGCTGTCTGTCTGTGAAGAGCCATGTAGCCACACCTTTAGAAAACTATCGAAAGAGTCATACTCTCCCACCATTCGGAGATAGGGGAAGTATTCCAGGCCCTGGGTACTTGTGCATCTGCTATGTCAGTGGTGCTTCTAAGGCTTGGTCCTGCTATCCTTGCACCGCATTTAAAAGCAGGGGGATGGGAAGAGGTTCTGGTTAACTTTTTAAAATCTAAAAGATCATTTTCTCCTCCTGAGAACTAAAGAAAATTGGACCTAGTTCAATTGAACTTGCTTCTTTTTTTCTGTTAGTGACATAAGCAGCTGTAGTTGTTAAGGATTTTCTTCGAAAATTGATGTTTTATTGCTTCCATAAGAAGGAGGGGTCCTAATACAGATGAGACTTCTGATCCTGAATCTCAGCTGCTTTGGCTGATCCTCTCTGTAACTAGTCTGCGAATGACAGTGCCACTCACCAAGGAGGGTTCATCACAAGGAGGAAGAGACTGACTTCAATATGGTTACAGTATTTACCGAACAAGTTAACCTTCCCGTCATCACAAGTTGTTTAGGTGACTTGTTACTGTAGTTATATTTTCAGCTGTAGTGGAAAAGACATCGCTAAGAAAATTAAGTGCCAAATGCACTGTACTTAGCCAAGCACATAAAATGTGTTTGACCAGAAGCCTGGAATAGCAGGACATACAGCTCTTCAGTTTTCTTTTTCACTGCACTTGATTATAAGAAAATGTTTTTGTGTTTGTATGCTTGCTTTTGTAGTTAACCTCTTTGCCCTCTTGCATCTCGTTAGGTGGCTGCAATTACTTCTGAAAATTTTAGATGATCTTTATGACCAGAGACTAGAAATCAACAGTTCCTGTGTTTAATAACACAACATACGCACTGTATATATCACTTTCACAGAATGTTAAGTTTGCAAAGTCATTCAGAAGTCAAGAAATGACTGCAGTATCTAGCCATGTGCCTATAACCTTGCCTTGAATCTTTATGATAATTTTCAGTTGCTCAGTTGTCCCTATTTTTCCCTTGGGCTTGCTGCATTGTTCAGTGTATATGGCGAATGGTACTCACTAGATTCAATATTTTCTTTCCACTGCTACGTGTGTGCCTTATTTGCAGGACGTTGTTCAAACTCTGCTGAGTACAAAAGTACTCATTTCCTGTTGGCATGATCATAACTCCAAATAGTGTTGGAATGCTACAGAGGTCTTCATTATTCCTGCGCTGTTCGGTGAGATAGGGGGATGATATGTTCATTAACCACACGTAGTCAAGGCAGAGAGATTACAGGATTAGAGCGTCTGCTAATTTGGGGTGCTCAATGTGAGATGCCTAATGTTCTGCAAAACCAGATTCTGACTCTTAATGTAGTTCTCTCCAGGTTCAAAGCACAGTCCCTGTAATTTCACTTGCAACTCAAAGTTGTCAGCATTCTAGTTAGGCATACAGAAAATGAAAAACATGCAAACAGTGAATTTTTTAAGATGTGGTTTTAATTGATTCACTTAAAGTCATACAGACAGTGTGTAGCAGAGGCAATAGTTTTCTGAAGTGGTGTTCATCTGCCTTATCCGTGAGACCAGCCTTCCTCTTGGAGATTGGATTGTCGCTATCTGGACACTGAGGGCATTTTGCTTTGACTTCTTTTAACGGCTTACTCAGGGCTTTTTGTTTTTCTGCGAAGTGTTTGGCTAAGTTCTGTCTTCCGATAGCAGCTATAATCCGTGGCTGGAGAGTGCATCAGGGCTGCACCTGGTCCACCCAGCCAACACTGAGAAGGTGTGGGAAAAGCTGTGCCTTTTTCTAAAGGAGGGTGAAGAGATACCTCTTGGGCTACTTGTGGAGGGGCGTTCTGTCGTTTGCTCAGTGTGTGGGGTGACTGACTTCCAGCCAGGAAGCGAGGGTCACAGCTGACTTCCATAAAGTTTGTGCTGTTCTTCCACATCCTTGTCACTTGGGATCTGTTTTGCAGTTCCCTCACCTGCACTGCCTAAGCAAACTGAAGGTTGCTGGTTGGTCTGCCTCCAAACTGCACCGCTTCAGCCACTTTTTATGTATTCATATTCCACCTGCTCTATGTCCATTGCCCAAACATCGGTTGCTGTCTAAGGAGGGTGGCAAGAGGTGCATGCACCAGCCTTAACTTTGTCTGTGACCTAGAGAGGAAATAAGCAGTATGGGTGTGTTTATAGTATCTCAGCATCCCCTGACTTGTCATTTCTGTGGTAAGGAGGCCTTAATGAATGTTTGCATTGAGCAAGCTAGGCTATACCCCCTCTTCTGGCTCTTCCAGAACCTCATGCGGAGCTGCTGAAGCATGTCATGATGTAAAGCCAATGTTTTTGCCAAACTTTTGACTGCTGCTCTGAAGCAAGCCTGTAGGCCACTAGTGCATAAATTGTTTGTTTACTTAACTTGAAGTGATTTAATTTTCCTCTGCCTTGCTTTTGGTAACAGCTGAATTGCTGTGATTGAACTCTCCAAAAATTGTGGAAACCTGGCTTGGAAATGTCAACTCAAATGGTTGCCAAATG